GTAACCGCTGTTTCAATTTTAACATTACAATTAAGTAATAATTCAGAAACTGGCAAATACGAAAAAATAGAGAAAGTACTAAAAAAAGTAGAAAGAAAAAAGAGAGAAAGAGAGACCTGAAGAGCTTGGAAGCTGGAGAACTTGAAACCGAATCTCTCGCCAGATTTATCAGACTTTTGCTTATGTAATCTGAACTCTGTTTCAGATTTTCAGTTTATTTATGGAAATTTTTTCATAGAGTTGAAGAAAATTTAGCCAAAATAAAAAACTGTTTCAGTATTTTCACATGGTCTCTACTCTCTGAAAGAAGAAAGGAGAGCGAGTGAAGAGGGACGGAGCGCTAGCTGTTATTTTGTTCCGAAGTTTGTCGTCAGATGGTCGTTTCGGAGCTTTATTTCTTTGGTTTCTTCAAAGCTAACCTTGGACTATTTTATTTTTGTTTATGAATTCATCCCTCTAACTACTATTTTTTGCTTAATACCCTTCTTCTCTTAAATTCCCTTTCTATTTTTTACTTTTCGTTTAAAAAAATAAAAATGCATTTGTACAACAAGTAAAATATTTTTAAACACTACAAAATTATAATAATATAATTCGATTTAGGTTTCTTTTTTTTTTTTTTTTTCTAATTAGAGTACAAAAAAAGCCTTGTCGTTTTTCTTTTAATTTTATTTTTGCATTAAATTGAAATATTTTATTAACTGAAAGAGGAGTGAGGATTAATATCTAAAAATGGATGAGCTTTAATAAAAATATCCAATTGTAATTAATTTCTATATCACACTCGCAACCGAAAAAAGATGACTTGGAACTAATTAAGATTATTATATTGCTAAATCTAGCGACGTTATGACTACAAGGAAGTATATAGGGGAAAAGCAATCAAATTGCTATAAATGAACGCTGCTGAAAATTACAATTGTTTTAATCTAAATTCAAATTTTTATTGGCTTCTAAAGGAAATGAAAATGAAATTTTAACTTCAACAATAGGGTCATTTTAAAAATTTGATTTAATTTTTGACCTGTATAATATAAACTCTTTTGTTCCAAGCGTTTTAGAGTTGTTGATGGACTTGCTTTGGTCACACTGTAAAATGATTTTTTGCTGTTAATAACAACCTTTCTTTTTCTCATGAAATATGCAAAAAAAAATTCTTTTAATTCTTTACTTGTTCAATTTGTTTTTTAGCATTAAGTTAAATCTTTTGAATTACAAATAACTTTTAATTTTTTTAGCTAACCATATTTCTATTTTTTTTAATTTGCATAGTTTATTCTAAAAAAAATCTGTTTTTTTAGCTTACCATATTTTTACGAAATGCCATACCACTATTAATATATAGCCATCAACACTTGGAAACATCGAAAATTTTTAATAGAATTCTCTTGTAATAAATTTCTTATAAATAATAATTGTCATGCATATGGTCATTTTGATTAAATTATAAGTATATATTTCATAATTCAAAGAGTTGGATTTGAATTTTTACTTTCAAATAAAAAAATCGAAAAATCTTATTGTTAAGTATATAGGCCCCCACGGAAGCCGACACGTCAAATGATAAATTTTGGGCTTGGGGCAAGTTGATGCTTAAATATTTGTTCAATAATGGGCTTTGATTTACATATTGAATTTGTTGGGGCTTTCTATTTTAGGCTACTTGCTCAGCCTATCAGCACCTACAGCTGGCTAAAAAATTGTTTAAATTGAAAAAAAATAAACTGATTAAATGAAAAATTTTTGCTTTATGATAATAAAGAAATGATACATGTGTTAATCTCTTAATCTCATTTGTAAAATTAAAATTTTATATTGACAATTTATCAATTATTAATTCATGATAATAATTGGGTTGAAATATATATTTGAAAAATAAGTATATTAAATTATAAGTATCTTCAGCACACTCAACCAAAAAAACTTTTGCAAATATAAATAATTTGCAATTAAATAGGGAAAAAAGTTGAAAAAAAGAAAACAATATTCCAAATCCGAACAATTCTGCCATTTTTTGTTCTTTTTGCAGTTTTTACCAAAGGCAGAAAAAAAAAAAAAAACCATAGGAAATACAAAGCCTTGAAGCAGCACCTCGAATTCCAAGAAATTGGATTCCTATGACAAACATCATTTGTTTAAGAACAAACTTTCACATAATGACACAAATGTCTGGTCTTGAAACACGAAAAGGATCTGCTTCCAAGTACAAAATGTTGGGATTTTCTTTCGTATTATTACCTTTTCTTTTCACTTTTTCCTGATTTTCCTTTTTCTTTGTTTCTTTCCCATTTCTCCTCTTTGATTTAATTCTTTCGGCAACAAAGATTGGAATACGTAATGGAGACGGTGCCGGCATAACATAAGATACTCTCAAGTTTATTTATTTGTTAATTACAACTTAGCTTTAACATAGGGTTTAAAATTTAAGATTTAATTTAAAAAATAAAAAGGAAAGTGAAGAATACGTCATTACAAATCTAAGCATAAATTCTTATTCTTGTCCTTTAAATAGCAGAATATGTGAAAGTAATAACCTTCTTTTAAATCTAATGTTTATCATTTTTATACCTTAAGTAAAATTACAAGACTAATTATGAAATTACTTAATTGATAAATTCATCTATTTTGATAAAAAAATAACATGATTTAATTTAAATTTTACTGAGTATTGAATTTTTTGTTGATATTTAATTTTGAGTGCATAATTTTTATTTATTACGACATATCTTGTTCGAATTTTAGAATTTTGAGCAATCTTTTAGTTCCAAATTTGTAAAAAAAAGAAAAAGAAAAGGTAATTGAAAATACGCTGTAGAGAAGTCGTTTTCGTCATTATCAAATCTTTAGATAGTATAATGTATGTTTCATTATTTTCATATATACTTCAAAGGGACCAGTACATGTACATCGTGAGTATTTACTATATATGCTTTTTACAATAATTATTTCTGCAGCCATTATTATATACATACATACGTAGATTGAGTATCTCTTACTCAACCATGGACCCCAAGCTTCATCAATTCAGTAGCAGTGCTTGTCACTGTTCACTTATAAATATTATTCAATTTTTTATTTTTATTCCAAATGGGAATGGAAAAGAAAAAATGAGTTCAAAAATGCCATCTTCTTCTTATTTGAAAATAAAATAATTAAAAAGTTAATTAGATTAATTTTTTTTCTACTCTATAGTTAATTATATGAAAGTTAGTATTATCTTTTCTCTTAAAAAAATAAATTCGACAATCAAATCAAATCTAAAATTATAAAAATATTTTACAAAAAGAACAAGAAGATGTTTTTTTTTTTTTTTTTTTAAAAAGAATTAACAATATAGACGTCGTTCCAATGGAGGACTACGTTTTAGTTTCAAGTACAATTGCAGAAAAATATTTAATTAAGAACAATGTTTTCTGAATCATTAATTTCTCCTTGTTGGAGTTGGTTGTCTTTTTTATGGCGGCTTTCAAAATTACTTTTTTCTAAGATAACAGTTTTTTTTTTTTTTTTGTTTTGGCCTTTTAGTTTGTAAATCAGTTTTCAAATTTAAATATAGAATGGTGAGCAATACTAATTAATGGCTGAATTAAAATTATGTCCGACTAGACACAATAACATATAGTGTATAAATAATTCAAATTTTAAGAGCAAGTATTTTTTGTTTATATGAAAGTTAAGGCAACTTAACCATGGTTGATTATTTGAACTGAATCATTATGTTTATGTTTTGAAGCATTGATATAATGACAAATTTTACAACCATGAAGCTAGTATACAACAAAAATAAGATTCTTAAATAATGTTGGCTCCCAATTTTAAAATTTTTTATTTAGAACTTGCGTACAATTCACATTGATGACTTTTGAATCCAAATCAATATGATGAAAACTTATTTTTCACAGAAAGTTTGCTTTAAAAAAATCATTTTAATAGCCTTTCTTTTTTTTTTTTTTTGGAAGTGTAATAGCCTTTCTTTTTTTTAAAAAAAAAAAACTTTATTTAAGTCCAAACACTTATTGATCCTAAAAGATGGAGGATTTAACTAAAATATGATTTGAATAATGTTGCTCTCCTCCTTGTCTTTTAACAAAAAAAAAACATTCATAATATTAAAATATTTTATTTCATAATAAATGCATATATCTTCCTTTCACTTATTGAATTCAAATATCTTTTTATCGAATATAAATATAGTTAATCACAAAGAATAGAACAAAAATGTTTAGTTTTATAGAAAATTTAGCAATTGATGGTTGACATGTCGTGACTCAGAGTACTTTGTAAATTGTCAGTAAAATCCTACGAAACGTATAAATTTTGCCCCAACATGAAATCAATGCTCCATAATAGAACTTAACTAACGTATCATTTAAAAAATACTAAAAAAAAATGAATGCAATTCTTTCTTATAAAAACAGACAACAATTGCATATGCCATAGCACATTGGACAAGTTTTGACAAATCCCAAAGCCGTGTCAATCAGTCACAAAGTTTCCCACATGTCAAATAGCCAAAAAATAAAACCAAGAAAAATCAACCGTTTCTAACCAACAACTAATAAAATAAAATAATTCATTAGATGCTTAATACTTTTGTTTTTTTTCAAACTTAACCAACTCACCTCGTCTACCTATTTCAAGAACAAAATTTTCAATCTTATCTTTTTTTAATTTTTCTTGAAAGCCATTGCATTAGAAAAAAGTTTATGGGATTCATGGTATAGAAACAAATTAACCTTAGAAATTGGATTCAATTTCGAAAAAACAAATACAATATATGGTCTGATAAAATTAAATTGGAAACTAATTAAATCATATATAAATGAAAAGATTTAACATCCATAGATCGGATAAAAAAACTGTCTGAAAGTTACAGATTTATATAAACTTTTTCTGAACCCTAGTGACAGATGTGCGCGTAATTTCAATTCAATACATACAATGAAATAAATATTATATGTAAAACCCAAAGAAAGAAAGAAAAATAATGAAACGCCAGCACACAAAAAAAAAAAAAAAGACGATAAGAAAAGCTGATATTTTTCATGTACATGGGCACCTTCTTTTAGAGATAGAATCATCAAAACCAGCTTTGAAAAACGCATCAACTTCTTCCCTGTTAACGATCTCGAAGAACTGAAGTTCAGATAGCTTTCTTTTGCTTGCAGCAGCTCTCTTCCTAGGTTTCCTTGGTGCTGCTGGACATGACAAAACTGCTGGGATCTTGTTTTCTTCCGAGGTTGGTGTTAAACACTCGCTGCTTCTACTGTCATCTTGGTTCTTGTTTTCTTCTTGCATTACGACTCCACTTTCATTGGAAGATTGAATCTTGAGTTTGGGTAATTTTATTTTTGCCAAATCTTGGAACAATTCAAGATCTGTAGACATTGTTTAAAGCAAACAAAAAAAAAAACCCCGAAATTTCAGCTATGAAAAATTGGATTTTTTTGTTTGTTTAAATAATGATAGATTGGAAGACAAAGGAAGAGAAAAGAAGAGAAGACGTGTAAGGGAAGGCAAGAGAAAGGTTGGAGGAGTGCGGCGCGTTGGGTTCTTTTATATTCTTCTCCAAAGAAAATACTGTGGAGTTTTGGCAGCTTTTTCTTCAAGATCAAATGAAATAATAAATATTGAATTGCAAATCTTTTTTGTGTGAAAACTTTCTGCTCAAGCTGGCTTGGGGTTGGATGAGTTGGGTTTAGGACTTTGAGTGGGTTGCTTTTATAGGCTTTTTACCTCATATTTCTTTTTGCTGTTTCTTTGGGTACCTGTGGGATGAAGATTTTGCTTTGGCTTTTTAATAGAAACTGGTTTGCCTGAAGAGTTCATATGTGATGTCACGTCCGCATATATATTTTATATATACTAATATATACTTTGAATGAATGAATTATACAATGTCACTCATTAATGAAAATTTTTTATTAAAATGTTAATTTTTATATATTTAATTTATAAATTTATAAAAATTTATATTTATTTATTAATAAAATAATATTATATGATTTATTGATCATATATAAGATCTATACATAGATAATACATATCAAATATAAACTTTTTATCATTTTTTTCAGGTTTACTTTTTTTTTGGGAGCTGTTTCCGCTTTAGGAATCTTTCATTTTTCCTAGCGGTATATATATTTTTTATTTCCTAACTTTTCTAGCAGTCATAAAGTTGAAGAATTTATTAAGGAGGTTTTAAAGGAAAATTGAATGGGTAGATTATTACTTCAACTCTCAAATTGAAATGCAAATGTTGACACTTCATTCGCTGGATAGTACAGAGACAAAAGTCCAGTACCACTTAATTATTATTGATATACTTGATTTTTGATCACTTCAATGATTTAGTAGAGGATAATAAAAATTACTTTTGACTTTCACCATATCTCATTTCTTTTTTTTTTATCTTATTATTTTTGAAAAATAAATAATAATCGAAAATGTTAAAAAGTGAATTTCAATTCTAGAAATTAATCATAACTTATGAAATAAATGAAAGAAAAAACCTACGAGATTAATAGAGTAAAATTAAGCAATTTAATTTTTATTTTAAGCCAAAAACAGAATAAAATCTATAAAATTTGATTGAAATTAAATTGTGAATTCTTTGTTACGCTCAAATTTAAAATTTTTATTATTTTAATTTGACTCGATGGATTATTTTTTTAATAATTTTTTTTTTAAATATACGCAAGAAATATTTTTTCAACAGCCTACAAAATGTCCTAATTAAAATAAAACGTGTCAGTTCCTTGCATCGTCAACATTCGAAACCTATTTTGATTTTTTCACTTCAGTGGATTTCAATTCTAACATGTGGAACGTAAAACTTACGTCAAAGACAAAAGGTGGTAACGATTCTATCTTCCGTTCTCACCAACGTTCTTTAAGGGGCGTGTAAAGCACACTCTCCAACTCTTTTTTTTCCTTCTTCATATGATCATATCTGCTCATATTTAGCCTTTTTTTAGTGTAGCTTTTGATTGTGCTTACTTGTTCTAATAATAGGAAATAAATAATTAAAATTTATTTTTAATAATGATAAATAAAGTTGAAGGACGAACTTGCTAATTTTATTAGTTATATAACATAATTGTTAGTGAAAAAATTATAGCATTAAAAAATTACGAATTTATGAAAAATTATTTCATAAAAAATAATTTAATAATTGATGAAGATTAATAATGTCACACTTTTGTATAATAAGACCTATAAAAATAAATTGAATTTTTAAATATATGTGTCTAAGTTATATAACTTTCTCTTCTCTCATCTTATAAACTCCATTTTTTTTTTTTTTTTGGATTTGAGATTATACAAAGATTTAACTTTCTAAAAAGAGGGATTAAAAGTGTAATATTTTACTAACTGATCACATCGATTGTAATAACTCTAAATTTTATTCCCAAAATTTAAAATAAAACAAATTAAAAGTTAAGTTTTAAGTAATAAAGTGTCTCTCATCTTATAAACTATGTTTCTTCGTAAAATAAATAGAGAAAAGAGGTAAAGAGAGAAGAAAAAAAGTTAAAACAGCCCATTTCACCCAAATCCCAAAAAAAAAAAAAATTCTAAAATTCTTATAAAGAAATTTGGAAGTTTTCATTAATAAGATACATATTAATTTCTTTATAAAATAGAAAGAGAAAAAAAGGTAAAGAGAATGGATAATGTCCTCAACATTTTACTTCACCTGCCATATTTTACTACTTGGATTTATATTGAGACTCTGTGTTTCCAATTACTAACAAACATATATAATTTTTAACTTAATTATTATTTTATATCCTAGCTAGGAAGCCGTAATAATATACTCCTACGGGGTGACAATTAGTCTAGTAATTAATCTTACGTACGTATATATAGCAGAGATTAGACAATTACAATAGAACATGTTATTATTTGGTACTCACCTTTTTGGCAAAAAAAAAAAAGTAATTTCCTTGAAAAAGTCAATGCAAAATTTGCGCTCTATATAATTCTAAAATAGAGCATATATATATTTTATTTGAAATCACTCGAGATTGAACTTGATTACTAAAATTAAAATTTCAAGATTCTACAACGAATTACACATGATTATTGATTATATATAGATTTTTCCTTAGGTTTAAACATATTTACTTTATGTATATATCTAGTGAGTATCTGTTTTTTTTTTTTTTTTGTCAAATTGATACTCATTTAACTTTGTAAGATAACTTTGCATCACGGCTTGAATTATCTAAATCTCTGCTCAAGTTTTCATCTCACATTTGCTATTTGAGTTAAGCTAAAATGATCAACTTTTTAAGATATAACTCCATAACTTTTAATAAAAAATCTTGTCTTGCACTTTCTTTCGAAAATTCTTAAATTTTTCTTTCTAATACATGCAATAAGGAAAAATAATAATAGTTTTACCTCCTTAATTTTTTAATTTGGTTTTAATAGTCATGTAGTTTTTAATTTTGAATCTCTAAATGTCATAGAATTTTTTGAGTTATAACTTATGCCATTTTTTTTTTTTTTTTGTATTTGATATTATCCAGATCAATTTATATCATATGATCATTAAAATTAAGAGTTTAATATTTTATTAATAAATCAAATACAACTTTTCGTAAGTTGATGGCAAGCATATTGGAAATCATAAAGAATTCCTTACTATAAAAGAAAAAAACAAGAACTTTTCTTTCTTTCCTTTTCTGAACTTAATGACCATTATGTTGTTTGAAATTGTGAATGTACTAAACTAGAACTATATATGTTTCATCTACCAATTTAATTATCTTAGTTGTCTTTCTGCCCTTTTGTAACCTTATCTTCAAAACCCACAACGAAATAGTACGTTTCCTTCTCATTATTGATTAATCCACCTTACTTTTTTAAAAGCCTTAATCATCATTTAAATCCAATCTTTCACATATATAGGGAAACAAACATAAAAACAAATAAGCACTGACGATCCTTTCCCAATTATTAGTTCCCTTCAATTTTTACCACTTTCCCACTCTCTTGTTTGTAAAAAAAATTAAAAGCACACAAGCATTTGGCTCAATGGACTCCATTTCGATCACCCGTTCATGTCCAATAAAAAAAAAAAAAAACGGCTTGTCGTTTTGCTCTATCTCATATATTTATTTGGCATTGGATACCATGTTAGAGCCTTGAATACTCTTATCTAACCAGGTCTCTTCGTTCACTATTTTAATGGAAATTTATTGGATTTGGTTTCACCAAATACCAACTCATCTTTACAAAGAAGAATGAATCTTTCCACGTGAAAACTGTCTGTTTCTGCTTAGTCAAGTTAGCCTCTCATTGCATGGTTTTCACCACTTGCTTTTCATCTCTAATTTTCAAAAAGGTAAACAATTGGATTATATTCCTTAAACAAAACATTACAGTCCAATCTCACCCACAATTAAAGCTGCTAAACAACATTTCTTTTTTGGTAATGGGATTGCGATTTTAGCTTGTCATTTTCCCTACTTTTATCGTAAGCTGTGAACAATCATTTTATCTAGAATTCTGGGGGAAAGAATAAAACCCTAATCAAAGTCAATGGATTAAAACCCTTTTTCCGGATCTTCATGAGCTGATAAAACAAGACAACAACATTCCAAATCGTACCTTGTTAAAAACCCTCAACTTTATTCCTTGTGTCAAGCTTGTTTAAGAATTTTTAAGCTTTTATTTCTTTTCTATATTCTTTTCATCTCTTTTTGATATCAGATATCACATATAAGATAAGAAGAGTTCACAACAAGCCTTGTTTTAAGGGTCTTCTTTTCTAAAAAAAATCAACAAAACCAATCAGCTAAGAGAGAGTAGAAAGGAAGGATTCAAGACTTTGAAGGGTTTTTTGCTGGAATTTACAAGCAGTTTGCTGATCATGAGCTGTTTTATAAGATTGAACTAAACTATAGTAAGACTCAGAAGCTGAAACTAGTTTATTGATTAAGACCTCGTCGGCTGAATCGTATTGTTTTAATTCCTTCAAATGAAGTGGAAAGAGGGAAGACCCACAAAAATAAGTTGATTATCGTGTAGTCCTTTCCTTCGCTTAGCTGAAGATGGGCTGTTCCATCCCTTTTTGTATTATTTGGATTTGCATGTGCTTTTTTTTCTTTTTCTTTTTTTCTCTTTATTAATTAAACATGGCCGTATTTGATGAAGGGTCTATTTCAACTGGGGCTGTTTTTAAGCTGCAATAAGAGGAACAAAACTCAAGGGAGAAATGTAACTCAATTATATGCAAGAAAAACAAAAAAGAAAACAGTGTACGTGGTCCCTATATAGTTATTTTTTTGTCTAGAATAATAATTTTCTCTTAGAAATGGAATTTATTGTTTTTATCATATACGTATTTTTATGATAATAATAATAATAATAATAATAATAATAATAATAATAATAATAATAATAACCGTCAAAATTGAAGAAA